GCCCAAAACAGTCGTTTTGACTGCTTGGGAAAAATTTTAAATAATCAAATGACTCTTATTATTGAATTGAATAAATTTCTTATATACGACCAGTTCGGCTCTGTATTGAAATAACATTTTTCATTTTTTTCGATTACCGTTACATGATAACATACAAGTACGTGATAAATTGTCGATTTGGGCGTATACTAGAGTAAGTTGCAGTTGCTCAATAAGCTAAAGTAGTACTTCTTATTCGTATCTTAAATTTTTGTTGTTGTTAATATTTACTAATAACCTGTTATATAAATGTAAATAATATAAAAAAGTATCAAAAATTAATTTTAAACAAATTTCTTTACACATTAGTCATTCTTTCACAATGCAGTCACTTCGACTGCTTTTGGGCAACATAGGTATATACTAAGTTTCAGTCTTTCTAGTGTTAAGAAATTGAATTTTGAGCATGGCATGCTTCTTGGCCAGACCACTGTGCGGCGGGAGGACCGTGCGGCGACGTCGCGAAGGGGAGCACACACGAGTCCTCGGGTAATGCACGCGTAGGTAGCCGGAGGACCGATCGAGGACGCGGACGGGCCGGGAGGGGGCCCGGTTCGTTGATTAGCGGATATCTTAATTACTGATTGGCTGCGCGGACTAATTAAATCGTAACTCAATCAGGACCCCACCCCTCTCGGGGCCGTGCCGCGCCGTGCCGTGCCGGCCTGATGCGATTTTACGACGCGACCCGCTCCGCAGAGTGGTTTAGGATCTCGCATACACGCGTGTCTCGGGGTTGTTGCATAAACGATTCGAACGCATCGGATATTGCACCGGGGACCGTTTCTCATCGGCTCTCTCTCTCTCTCTCTCTCTCTCTCTCGCATCTCCTTTTTACTCCTACACCCAGCTCCTTTTTCTTCGGGCCCGGCTGCACCGAAGCTGCTCCGGCCGGGCATTATGTCGGGGCCGAATAAAAAGTACAGTAATTAGTAGTACCTACCACGGAGCCCCGCAGGTGAACGATGTCGGCGTGGTCCTCCCACTTTCCGGACCTCGAGTCGCGATTTTTCCACTCTCGGTGTCGAGAATCGTCGATCCGGCTGGTTCCCGTCCAGGGTGACCAAAGTAATCGTGGTCATTATTATCACCTCCAATATTAATTTCCAAAGATTTTTTATATCGATGGATTATATTCTTTTTTAGGAAGGAATATACATCATTTGTAACTGCTGCAGGTTTTTGAAGGAGAATGTTAACACTAAACCTACCACGGTCAAAATGACCGATTTTTTATTTTACAATACTACAAACTTTGGAGACTTCTTCTCTCGTGGAAAATGATTGAATAAATTATATTACTGAAACAAGTCTCATAATTAAAACTTTACAAAATCCAAGTGAATTTTATCTTTTCACTCTTACGAGTCAATGCACGCTAATCATCGTTACAGGTCGGTTGGTTTAGTGTTAATCGTAAGTGGAAGCTGGAAGCCCTGTTTCCTCAATTTGTCGATTAGTCTGATATTCCATCAGAGTTTATTCGAGCAAATTATGTCCAACGTCCTATTATTTTACATTTTCTTGAACGTTTTCTCTCTCTCTCTCGTTTGAACGTTTACTCTCTTGCGGCTTATTATTATACATTCGGAAGGACACGTGTCGTTTCATTTTCGGTAACAGGAACGGAACGTCCATTTATCTTCAGCGTTTCCGTCGAACGACGAACCACAAACACCAGGATACAAAAGGATTTAACCGCGTGGAACATACGCGATGTCGACGAAGCACTTTCTCTGCCGGCGACGAAAAGCGCGAGCGTGCCGCGTGAACTGGAACCCCAAAGAGTCGACCGATCCTGCTTAAACGCTCGATTCCATAAGCCCGATTACCTGCCGATAAAACGCCTCCCGGACAGCGCCGCAAATTATACCGGGCCCTGCATAAGCGCAATAACGATTCGACGACGTTTTCGGCGCTATGTAAATCGCGGAAGGAATTTATTCCGGGGGGACGGCGCGAGGCCTGGTTTTTGCCGGCGCACGGGGTAGGAAATAATCGTCGGTGATTCATTACGACAATTACGGAGTCAAAACTTCATCGAGAAGGACGGTGCCGAAAATCTGTTGGAAAGAATGCGCGAAAGACAGAAGATGAAAGAAAGTAAGATAAAAAGAGAGACAGAGCGAGAGTGAGAGAGGGGGAGAGAGAGAGAGAGAGAGAGAGAGAGAGAGAGAGAGACACGAGTGGCGAACTGGTACCTGCTGCTTTTAATGGCTCCAGCCTCGTCCCTCTTTTTCTCTTTCTCAATTCGTATTCGAAACGGCCAGGGCCGTAGCAGGAGGGTTCCTTGTGTACGCGACGCGGTGTCGTCGCCGACCCACCGGTGAATTCTTCGTCGGTACTCGCGACAGGAGCATGAAGACACGCCGGTGATTCATTATCCATGCTAACGAATGTGCGTTACGAGGACCCAGAAGAGAGAGAGAGGAGAGAGAGAGAGAGAGAGAGAGAGAGAGAGAGAGAGAGAGAGAGAGAGAGAGAGAGCTTTCTGCGGCTGGAAGCCACACCAATAACGACGGGGAGCACGGCAACGTCTTCATCTCTCGCGGCCACCGCTTCCGAGGTGAAGCCATTTTTCTGTATTATCTCGATGACGCGTCCCGAGTACATAATTTATACACCGGCGGCCGATTATGGATCTAATGACATAATTCCGGCCGTCGACATTCGCCTCGACATAAAGCGTTCGTTGCGCGCATTTGACTTTCAAAACGTTCACAGAATTTAAACATCATCCGATCGCGTCTTCACCGCGCGACTTCGTCACTCGGCAGCGTTTCTCCCCCGAGCGCAGATCTTGCTGCGATTATAGCTTTCTTTTTTCAACAGCATTATATTTTGCATGTTTTTAAATTTTCATTCTGCATAAAGATCCGCCGCGCTGCTTGAGAATGGTAATCAATTAACGTTGCCCACCTGGAAACATTTAAAAAAAACTGAATAACACGCTTAACTGCTTGGAGATGTAAATCGTGACGGAAGAGAAAGACGAGCGGGAGAAAGGACAGGAATTAATGTGGACTGCGCGCCGTGGTATATACGTACTACGAAAGATAGTATTATTTTGTAGTATATACATACTACGGAAAGATATAAACTATATCGAATACAATGTAGCACCGATTGACGGAAAATGAATGATGAATAACATGTGCCATATAATTACGTTCGTGAACACCGAGGGATGTTCGTTTCGGTCTAACAGATTGCTAAATTCAATGTTACCGTTCCAACAATTATATGGAATTTTTTAACACAAGTTTACGATCACGCGATCAAAATATTATATGTATAATATACGATTTTCATAAAGTGATCTATGGTAAAATATGGTTGACCGACTACACGACAGTTTACCGAACTTGAAAAAGAAATTGATATTTTAAAATCTGCAAGTGGTCCAAATTAACTAATTTTCGATCTAGTTTCCTCATATTTATTGTAATATATTGGATACTAGGACGTTTAGAACGCAAAAGGGATCAAATACCGACGCTCAATTTTCACTTTCTAGTTTCAGTTTCATTAATTAAACTATTTTAATTTTTACGAAATTTTTGCGATCGATTATCGGCACTTGGCGCGTTCACACGACAGATTAACAATAACATTTGTATACCGCGTTAGATCGCATGCGCAATAATTTGACGAGACATCGTGGATCCAAGAGCTGCTTGCCAGAAGCCGTCGCATCTTGACAAAGAACCTTCGACGGTGGCGTCGAAAGCGTCGACGTTTAAATGTCTTAATTAATGTTCCCTTCTGACAGAGACGAAAGACCGGTATCGGCGAGCCGCGAATTTCATAACAGATTGGCGTATCGTTGACGGTCGCGGCCTTGAAACCGACGTTCTTTCTGTTTATAATAGCGATCGTTTCATCATCCGGATCGCCTTCGGCGGCACGTTTAACCGCCTCGCGCATCGGTCAATTAATTACGGATGGTCCGCATTAATCTCGGCAAATTGGCCGAAATCGTCGAACCGGCCGAACCTCGATTTATAGCGCTCCTCTATTTCGTCGGCTCGCGCCGAGAAGGAATCGATTTGTAAGACAAACAAGGACGTCGTTGTCTCGTGTCCCGCGTGTTCCGTCAAGTAAATCCAATCCGGAACGATCCCTTCGGGATTCCGCGAAGTCTCTTAACTGATGCCAGCAGTGCCATAAAACGATTCGCGATATCATCCTCGGGTCGCTTTTACTTTGTGCCACGGCACCGTTCCTTGTTGTGTACGACTTCGTCTTGAGAAACGCGAGATTCCGTGCTGCGAAACATTTGTCGAGGTGAAATTATTATAAAACAGAAAGTTTTCTGAATCCCTTGAAATTTCTACAAGATAACTCTCGTATTGCTCTTCGCTTCTGCTAAAGAAAATGTTCTTTTTCCTAAATTATTATTATTATCACTGTTGGAACGGTGGAATATTTTATCAAAATATTTATTAATTCTTAAACTTTTAACGCGATTGCTAAGGGGAGAAAATTTCGTTTGACTTTATTTTAGATTTCCGCTCGTAAAGATGACGTTTTTAGAATCCACGATTTATTTGCGAATCTATGAATTTCTTTATTCGTCGAGTATACACATCGATAATATCATTTCGCAGAGGTGCTTTTTGTTGGAAGTCATTCAATAAATTCACTTTTGCATATACAAGGTGACTCAAAATTATGGCATTTCCTGGAAGTGAGGGGTTGCCGAGGAGTTTTGAAATAACTTTTTCCTTAGCGAAAATGCAATCCGCGGCTTCGTTTGCGAGATATTAACGAAAAACAGTGACCAATAGGAGGCCAGCTCGGCTGGTGCAAGGCGGAGTCCAGTTCCGCTCATTTGCTCGGTCGCCTAGTGCTAGGCGAGCTCGCCTCTCATTGGTCACTGTTTTTCGTCAATAACTCGCAAACAAAGCAGCGGATTGCATTTTCGCTAAGGAAAAAGTTACTTTAAATGACCTCAGGAAGCCCTCATTTCCTGGAAGTACCGTAATTTTCGGACACCTTGTATACCCAATAATGCACGGTTAAATTATTCAAAAGATAGGGTTTCGTCATTTCTCAATAGATACGTCGCAATAATTTGAAACAAGGGTCGAAATGGATCGTCGTCATTGGAGGGCCTGAAGAATCGGTCTTTGGGCCTCGTAGATCGCTCGACAAGATGCCTCCGTGAGTTCCTGTTCCTCGGGCGTGTACGGATGACGTAGGAACGATTGTATACCGTTCCTGCCAACTATACAGGGCAAGGACATGTACACGTCTTTTTCCAGACCGTGTCGGCAACCCTGTAAAATGGCCGACACGTTAGGGTACAAACATGTTACACGTGTAAGAACCTCGTTTCTAGGCGAATTAAAATGGTAGAGAAATATTAGTTCAAAGAGAAGCTTTAGAACAATATAGTAAATATAGTAAACGTTCAAAATGATGCCCTTAAAACACTAGAACTACCGAGCCCTAAACGCGACTCATGCAAATATTGTTTCATAACAATGCCAAAACTGATTTATTTAAACTTCGTGCGATTTATATTACGATATATATTTCAATAAAGAAGTGTACCGGAAAAATTCGTCTTGAAATATTTGTATAATGTCAGGAACTGTAAAAGAAAAAATCAGAAACCAGCCATTTTAACTGGTTTGGTAGATATATTGTTAAACTACCAGCTATTCTCCATGTTTACACCTTGACAAACATGATACATACAAGATATACATATCTTGTATGTATAACAAAATTTAATCAATGCTGTAGGTATACAAAATAAAATTAACACTCCCTGGCTTGGCGTAACTTCGAAGTCAATGTTATTTAGCCAAATTCCATTTTTAACCGCAATGTTGCGAAAACATCTTATTATATTTGAACGATACTTCACAAATCGGAGAAAATTCGATCTCTCTTTGTCTATTAGTTGTTAATTCGTATGCAAAGATTTGTACCTTTTGCTCACAAGTTACAAAAACATTTTTATATTCGTATGAAAGATTTGGTTCATGTATAGCGGGTTAATGTGCTACATTTTTTCGTAGACAAGCCAAATTACCTAGAAGCGTTAACAAAAATTGGGAACTACGTAAAAAAGCGAGATTAGCCTAAGAGACGGGTCACAATCTCGACAGTTAAGGATTTGACCAAAAATTTAGGAAGCGTTAGGAAATCTAAAAAAAATCGGAAGGGCACGACGGTAAAGTCGCAGCTGGTCAGTTAACAGATCTCGAAGATCGTGTAACCCCCCTCCCCCACTCCCCCTTTTTTAGGATTCCCTAATGCGAACCGAGGAAAAATCTGAAATAAAAAAAATGAAAACATGATTCCTTGTCACCTTCAGATAAGCCGACACAGTGATGCAGATACACGTGTTCCGGACAACGGCGTCCACAACTTCGGCTGCGCAGACACCAATGCCCCAACTCCGATAACCTTTCCGGGAGATAAGATCGCTGTCGGAATCGAGGACTTTGGCGTGCAGGTCGCCCCAGGACTCGGGATCCGTTTTGCTACCAATGTCCTTGTTGATGTCCTTCAGCTTGATCCCCATCACCGACACCGCGGACCAAACTGGCACTGTCGATCAAGTCATTCGGAACCTCTAAGCGGTCGGACCTTAACATTCCTTTGCTTTTCTCATTATTATTATCATTATTATATATAATATTATATATTATATTATATATATTATACTATATACGTCGACCGCGTAACTTATTCCTAGCCGCTCGCCTCTCTGATATTATATCTATGTTTCTTTCAAAACATACAAATTGAAACTTATTTTTGGCTTTAAATTACTATTTCTCTTATGATCATTTAACACATACGACGTTGATAAACCGCCGCAATAATTTAAAAAAACAAACAGGTCGCCCGCGGTGATCAAAAGTTTGTTCCACCACTGATATACAGGCTGAGTCGCGGAACTGGCAAATGATTTTTAACCCTAGAAAGATAACCATATGACAACGTACGTAAAAGATAACCATACGCTTCAGAGGCGCATGCTTTTCTAAGGCGTCAATTTTATACTAACAATGGATATTTATTTAAGTTAATCTAGTCATTTTAAAGGTTTGGCATTATTGTAAAGATAAAATGCATTTATATTATATTTTTTTATATTTTAAGTAATTTTAAACTTAAATCACTAGACCTCTATGAAAAATTAACAAAAATCAACAGTCTTCGCAGGCGCCTCTGCGACGTAGGTTATCTTTCTCGGGTTAAATTACGCGATGTATGGAACATTTTGTGGAATACCTTTTATAATTGAACGCAAAAGATGCGTGCTTTCAAATGACGCATTTATTCGACAAGTTTCCATAAAATGTACGATTTAAAAGCTACGAAAGATGCGAATTTTCTGCAATATAATGTGTTCACACTTTTTTAAAATATGCGTATGAGAAGAATGATTAAGTTTTTCCGAACACGGCTCTGTTATTACAGAAGACGCTTCGTCATCTGCAAACGTAAATACAGTAAATTCTCCCGAATTTTCCTTCAGCTTCAACATTTCTCAACCACAAATTGTCCATTACTGTTTACAAGCTGAACGAAAATTAGGGGAGAATTTACTTTACTCTAATTCTGAAAGTCGAACATTCAACTGCCGCGTCTTTTATCAAACCCGAAGATCAATTTACATTACAATCTAGCAAGGTAAAACAAAGTCTGCGAGATCTGCAAGACACAGATTACAAGATTATATGCAATAAAAATCTTATTTTCTTTGTTCTCGTGCCACGAAATAAATTGCTTCGACTTCGTGCGATTTTTGCGCGCGCCGGTGTGGCTGACAGCGCGCGTCAATGGCTTCGCTATGAAGGTATGCAAGGATTGCTCATCGCCTAAAAAGCTGTTCAGAGCCGCGAAATAATTGAGTTCTTTTTTTTTACCAGACGTCGGTCCATTCTCGCAGATCACTGAAGCTTGCACCGCGCTTGCCGAAATTCCAAGTTTCTGCGCGACCATATACTGAAGCCTGCAGCTGTCCAAAAATGTCCCCAAGCCGATCACTCGTTGCGGAGGGAAACCTGAAAGCTTCATCGCCGCGTACGACAATATATCCACTGGAATGCGAAACGATTCCGTCATAATCTGACACGCGTAAATCGTTATATCGATCGAGAATCTGCGCGACGGTTAAATTGTACATACCGGGCGTGGTCACGATCAGTAATACGCTGTTCGGCGCGAATTTGCACACATTGGGTATGATTTCCTTGAAGATATTGAAATTTCGCTCCAGCAGAGTGCCCTCCTCGGGCTCGTTCGTGTTCTTGTCGCCCACCGTGAACACGCACACTGTCGCGTCCCTTGCCATGGAATAATCTAAAGATATCGAAACAAATTAAAAGGGAAATTACGAGACCCGTTGATTCTCGTTAGATCTCAGAGTGACATGGCGTTGGAAGAAACGTTCAACACACGGCTTTCTATAATAATCGTTGCTTATTTTGACGGGGTGAATGTGTTCCTTGAAACTTCAGATTGAATACACGTGACGGATTAAACTAATTGTAAGTTTGCGAGCTATATCTTTTGCAACTATACAGGGTGTCCCAAAAATGTCTCGCAATCCGAAAGTAGGGGATTCCTGAGTTCATTTGAAGCAACTTTTTCCTTAGCGAAAATGCAATCCGCGGCTTCGTTTACGAGTTATTAACGAAAAACAGTGACCAATCAGAGGCGAGATCATTTGGCGCGAGACGGCCGAGCCAATGAGCGGAACTGGGCTCCGTGCACTCGTTGGCTGGGCCGCCGCGCGCCAGCAGAGCTCGCCTCCTATTGGTCAGTGTTTTTCGTTAATAACTCATAAACGAAGCCTCGGAGAAAATTTTCGCAAAGGAAAAAGTTACTTCAAATGACCTCAGGAACGTTCCATTTTCGGATTGCGAGACATTTTTGGGACACCCTGTGTATCGGCTCGCACAAAGGTCGACAACCCCTTAACAAGTTTACGAGGGAATAAACATACGACGACGGAGGAACGATATCGAGAGAGAAATTAATAGTCACCTCTGGTGCCGATGATTCTCGGATTACCGAGGAACGCAGCAGCGTGGCCGATATCTTCCGCTTCTGCTTTCGCCAGGTCCTCGTTCAGGTCTATGAACACCAGCTCGGATGCGAGACGCTGCGGAGATGCAGCGCGCGGGGCCCGATCGGAGAGAAACGACGATTATAAAGGGTAATTAACGGGAAACGGCCGCTGCGACGGCTCGAGGGCCGCGGTTATTACGCGCGCGGAATCGTTGCGCAATCAAGACCCCCAGGAATCGCATTAAGAATCTACGGGCGCGCAATCGATCGCGCCGTTCGAGCGATCCCTTAATGCGAAGGGTCGTTAGGATTTGATCGCCTTGGTTCGCGCGCGCGAGATGGCCGGCCTCGCGTGCCCTCGTTGCACGCCATCAAACCGCCACCAAAAAGCCGTCGCGATTTTTCATGCGATTCGGAGCTAATTTAGTAAAGCGCTTTCAGCTGGCCGCTCGTTAACCAACGGCAAATTAAACTTTTAATACCGTCCTGCGCACATATATCTCGCCTGTACAACGCCCAACCGACGTTGTCGTCGCGTGAACAAATTTCGCGTTCCATCGTTTCGCCCTTCGTTAGCTGTGCCCGTTTACGGGCTTCCATTCTTTCGTCGATGCGAAAAATGTTCTTTTCTCTTCTATGAGATTTTTGACGGGTGCCGCGCAACCCCATATTTTGGAACAGAGCTTTTCTACACCGAGTCGAAAATACCCGCATTCGCGGAATATTATAAACCTAGGCTCTAGAATTTTTCTCGACTGCGTTATTTTCATATTAAGGTACAGTGTTTAAAAATTCGAACACATTTTTAATGTGTCTTGAAATCTTTTGCACTTCCTATGCGAAGCAGGCATGCAATGCGATGCAACACTGTTACTCGGAAGCTGGGGATGCTATTGAAATCTGAAAATTTGAGAATGGAATTTGAGCATTCTAGAATATCGTTTACTTTACTAGAACTGGATATCTCGCTTCGAAGTATATCGATTTAATTGTTAACCTCACTTTTTTGAAAAATATCGGGTCGCATCTCGATGTATTCGTGCCCAATTTTAGAAAAAAGTTGAAATATTAGAACTGGATATCTCACTTCAAAGTATATCGATTTAATTGTTAACCTCACTTTTTTGAAAAATATCGGGTCGCATCTCGATGTATTCGTGCCCAATTTTAGAAAAAAGTTGAAATATTAGAACTGGATATCTCACTTCAAAGTATATCGATTTAATTGTTAACCTCACTTTTTTGAAAAATATCGGGTCGCATCTCGATGTATTCGTGCCCAATTTTAGAAAAAAGTTGAAATATTAGAACTGGATATCTCACTTCAAAGTATATCGATTTAATTGTTAACCTCACTTTTTTGAAAAATATCGGGTCGCATCTCGATGTATTCGTGCCCAATTTTAGAAAAAAGTTGAAATATTAGAACTGGATATCTCACTTCAAAGTATATCGATTTAATTGTTAACCTCACTTTTTTGAAAAATATCGGGTCGCATCTCGATGTATTCGTGCCCAATTTTAGAAAAAAGTTGAAATATTAGAACTGGATATCTCACTTCAAAGTATATCGATTTAATTGTTAACCTCACTTTTTTGAAAAATATCGGGTCGCATCTCGATGTATTCGTGCCCAATTTTAGAAAAAAGTTGAAATATTAGAACTGGATATCTCACTTCAAAGTATATCGATTTAATTGTTAACCTCACTTTTTTGAAAAATATCGGGTCGCATCTCGATGTATTCGTGCCCAATTTTAGAAAAAAGTTGAAATATTAGAACTGGATATCTCACTTCAAAGTATATCGATTTAATTGTTAACCTCACTTTTTTGAAAAATATCGGGTCGCATCTCGATGTATTCGTGCCCAATTTTAGAAAAAAGTTGAAATATTAGAACTGGATATCTCACTTCAAAGTATATCGATTTAATCGTTAACCTCACTTTTTCGAAAATATCGGGTCGCATCTCGATGTATTCGTGCCCAATTTTAGAAAAAAGTTGAAATATTAGAACTGGATATCTCACTTCAAAGTATATCGATTTAATCGTTAACCTCACTTTTTCGAAAATATCGGGTCGCATCTCGATGTATTCGTGCCCAATTTTAGAAAAAAGTTGAAATATTAGAACTGGATATCTCACTTCAAAGTATATCGATTTAATCGTTAACCTCACTTTTTCGAAAATATCGGGTCGCATCTCGATGTATTCGTGCCCAATTTTAGAAAAAAGTTGAAATATTAGAACTGGATATCTCACTTCAAAGTATATCGATTTAATCGTTAACCTCACTTTTTCGAAAATATCGGGTCGCATCTCGATGTATTCGTGCCCAATTTTAGAAAAAAGTTGAAATGAAGAAAGATTAGGATCTTTTAGGTCATTTTGACCCGGTATGACAGCGGAGGGTTAGACCGTTCTCGAAAATCATAACAGAAACTCGAACAGTCTTCTTTGCTTCGCTCGTTTACAAAATCAAGTAACAAAAATTAGTCTTCTTCTTTCGGTAACAAAATCAAAATTTCAGATCGGTACAAAAAAATAAATGTTACGAACTCGTTAAACGTCATACAAGCCACTAAAAATTGCTACACGTTTCATAATAATATCGACGCTATCAAATTTGTTTACGTTTAAAAACTGATGAAAGTGCAGGTATTGTACGTGTTAATATGCCCAACTTCGTATGCACAAATTGCAATAAATCACGTCAAAAGAAACTGTTTAAAAAGTGAAAGATTCATCTCAAATGTATCGCTAAAAAGTTTCTGATAAGCCGACGATTTTAAATTAGCTCGATATTAATTTATATCAGCTTAATTAACCCTTTGCACTCGAGTGGTAACTCTGAAGCACCACTAAAATTGTTACATCACGTTCTAAGATAATTTTTACATTGCCAAAGTTTAGATGTAAAAAGATTGTTAAAAGTCTAACTGTTGTACGAGTCACAAGACTCAATTTCATATGCACAAAATGCACTTTGTCGCATAAAATGGAAATACCATAAGTCGGAAAAATTAATTTAGATTTACGGTTAAAATGGCTTCGAGTGCAAAGGGTTAATTATATCCGCAAAATTAATTTATGTCCGCGTAAAGATCCGCAGCGTGTTGCATCTCGATGTATCCGCGTGGCCAATTTTACAAAAATTCAAATCAAGAAAGATCAGGAATTTGCACGAGCCATAAATGCGCGACGATCGAAAGCGAACTCGCGGTAGCGTTCGACAGGAAAATGTAAACGGGAGAAGCATGATATTTAGCAAGTGCGCTCGTACTCCGGCAACTAATTGCACCCGGTGCAACTGCGAACAGGTTCCAAGCGCACAGGACAAAAAGACATCCAATCCCGTTCGACTCGCTCGACTAATTGCTTCCCCGTCGAGCAAGTTATACAGAACACAATACCTTGCGGGTGGATTGAGACACTTATAGAATATCAAAGACAGTCCACCGAGGGAATAATAAAACGTGCGACAGATCGAGTGTCGGCTAGCCTCGGTGTCCTGTGATCGTCTGCGGCTCTATGAGCTGGAAAGAACGGGCCTAACCAAGGGTGAAACGCAGCTAGGTAACTAAAACCGCATGGAAGGCGACTAGAAACTCTGCGGAACGTCGTAAAAGTTCTTTACGCTTTCTCGGCGTTAAAGTTGCGACAAACCTGTAACCTTTACTTTTTTTCTTATTATTTTGCGGATTATTTTACGGGAAAGGCTTCCAGCGAGTACAGTAATTTCTCCCTAATTCGTGCTCAGATTGCGTAGAAAAATAGACAATTTAGGAAGAGGCGATACGATTATTCGAGCCTTGCGGCTCGTTTTTATAATTACCGTGCTCCCATATTGTCATCAGCTATAAAAACGAGCCGCAAGGCTTGTACAATCGTATCTCCACTTCCCAAATTTGATTTCTTCTCATTTTTGTGCGCAATCCGAGCGCGAATTAGGGAGAAATTACTGTACTCGCCGGAGATCTACTCGTAAGCTTCTAATCGTTTCTGTCGCATTGAATAGAAGCTTTGAGATATTCTCTCGCGTAACAATCTCGAATTCTATTGATTGCTGATCAATAATTGCTTCTGCGATTAGTTGCGATCTTTATATAGCATACGTAATACGTTACGGTAAGTAATATATGCTACAACTATTCTGGTTCAAAAGTGTGTTACATGTACATTGTTTGTTCGATATCAGTTTAACTCAAATGGCAGAATTTTTTAAGCTCAACTATCCTAATAAAGAAACATTTGAGAAATGATTCCCACGGGTCAGGAAACATTTAAGACAGACATGTTCATGGAAGAGATTTCTAGGAAAATGTAAAATACATTTTACAGTATTTATCGGTATCCTTATTTCATTTTATAATTTCCAACGTATTATTATTATATTATTATATTATGTTAGGAAATATTGATATACGATACCACTACTTGTACGAATATCGATTTCGGATTCTGTCGGTCTCAGTCCTGCATTATTAATGCGACACCAGCCTCGAAACGAATGACGAGTAACCAACAGAGACATCAATTTCGCTCGAGGTTTTGTGCAACTCGACCACGGCGTAGCCATTGGAAATTCCATGTGCATCACTTTCTCCGGCTCGCAGTTATCGTCGGTCACGGATCATTAAAAAATCTCGTTATAAAGTATATACTGGGAGTTCGCGAGTTAATTACCGCTCAATATCGTCGCGAATAAGCGCAGTGCATTACGGGGGGTGAAGGGACGGGAGAAAAGAAAGAAAGAGGAGAGGGGGACAGAGAGAGAGAGAGAGAGAGAGAGAGAGAGAGAAA